TTTGCTCTTGCTGTTGCTGAAAAGCAGAAGCGTAAAACCATCTTGCTGTGGTGGCAGATGGGATTTGGGGGGCATTTATTCCTTCAGGGCAAAAATATGTGTCAAATTTATAATTTCATTTGTGTGGAAACATTACAGTGTTTTTGGGGCAGAGATGCTGAGTTGTTTATGCTAGACCACTCTAATCAAGCTCTCCATATAAAGTGCCAAAAACAAGGCCATTTTTTTAGTTACTTCATGAGAATTATTCAGTCATATAGAAACAGTATGTCTGAAGAGAAATATGCAGGTTGGTATTGCAAGTATCCAGTTGGAAGCAAGATAAGGCTCAATAAATGCAAATTGATAAACCTGTATGTGCTGCTAAATCCACTTGAATTACTTACACAGTATAGAGTCTGATGGTCACAGCTCTTTGGTGACACATTTTTGCTACAGCAAACAATCTGAGGATTGAGTAGTCCATGATCCCTGACTTGTGAGATAAACCTGCCACCTTTTCCTTCCAGTCCCTGAGAGTCCCTCCATAGGCCATGACTGCTTATTTTCCCCACTGGTGGACTTGCAATTGGTTCATCAAAAATGAGACACAAAATCCTAAAGTCTCCTAAAGAAATGTTTCCCCCTTTGAGGGGAAGAAGAGAAGAAGGCACTCTAGGGGCTGGAACTTCCAGTGTGATATATTTGATGCTCAGTTACTTCCAGATTATGTAGAATTAGGTACAATTTCTCTGGAATTTATGTCCTTGAATGTGGAGGAACCCAAAACTAACAAACCACCCTGTGAAGCTGAGGGAGAGTGGTGTAATTCTCCCATCCTTGGGTTTAGATGAGGCTATAAAGGGACAAAGGACTAAAACATCCTGCTCTATCTGCCAAAGGTTAAACTTGCTGTGACCTCCTTAGTAACAATCCCAGTTGACCCCTTTGCAGGAGCCTGTGTTTCAAGCCCGCTGAACAGGGGATCCAGATCTCTCGGATGAAGCCAAACCCTGCTAGTTCTGTCTGCAGTCATTGCAGTTATTGCCAAGGTTTGTGCACTCTGTTGGGTGTATCTCCTGTGCAGCTGCATGAAACAAGAAATTGAAAGGTATCTATCCTTCTCAAAATGTACACAGACTCTTCTTTCAGCTGTAGGTCTTGAGGGGGGAATCACCAAAGATGACCAAAGTCTCCTACAGAGACCACTTTCATTGCAGGCTCACGCCCTATTGGGCTCAAATCTCATGCCTACCTCCTCACAGATGATGTGACCTCCTGCCCACTAATTCAGAGGGACAAGTTTGTCTCTTCGAGACTCTTTCCAAGCCATTATATAGGGTCTAGAGAAACATTTTGGGGAAGACAAGAGGATGAGCCATCAGCAGCCTTGCAAAAATGAGCCTCCAAAGCTGCTGTGCTTGGGTGGACCAATCCCAGCTCCCTTTCCTGATTCTGCAGAGAAAAAATTCCTGCCATGTTTCTAATGCCTTCCTATTTGCTTGCTATAAGAAAGGCTGCTGAAGATCATCACAATGGGATTTGCTCATAGTGTTTGTACAGCATGACTCTAATACACATTATAATGTGACTGGTTTTGTCCCTAAGCATTACATAGCTTAATTTAGATGGAAAAATTAGCACAATTATCAACTGAAGCCAAAAAAGCCATGCTGGGATGTTGCAGTACATCAAATTAAAGTGCAAGATAGGCTAAATAAATATATTTTTGTTCGGATAATGTGTCAGCCTATAAACAAGACATTTGTCATCTTGTGTGATGTTTTCCTGAGAGCTGTGATTTTTATAAGAGCAAAGCTCCCCAACAGAGCAGAAGCATGATTACTGCTGGTAGCTGCAGTGTGGATGCTCTGTGCTGGCCCTGTGCAGGCAGCCAGGCAGCTACCCACTGCCCAGGGACTACTCATGTCCTAGAAATACCCATTTTCAGAAAGCAGAAAAGAATGAAAATCATGAGGGAAGAAAACCAAGCAGTAAACAGCACTGGGTACCAGGAAAGGGTCACTGATTTTCTGTTAGCACTGGCCTGATCCTTCACAGGGAAGAGCTTTACGAACAAGTGGAAAATAAATGCACTGGGATATGCAGCTGGAGTTATTCACACTAGTGCTCCTCCACTTTTTTTGCAATTTGTACCTCCTTATTACTGTGGTCAAGGGTTGGCACGATCTGGAGGAAGCTGTCTTTGATCTCATTACTCCAGTTCCTGATTTCATGCTCATTAGCCACAATAGTTTAATTCAAGTCCTGTATTTTTCTGTCATCATTTTAACAGCGATGTTCCTTTGTTAAATACACAGAGAAGCTATAAATGGAGATGCCAATAGAAATGAATTTGTTAGATTGTTTGAGTGAGCTTAATTCCCCGTGACACTCATTAACACCCAGCTACATTTCCTTTTACAGAACAAGGCTTCTGGCACCATGCAGCATTGTCTGTAAGCACCTGTAGCTATCCTCCAGAAGCACTCAAAGTATTTTGGACATGTTACTAATTAAAGCCCAGAGCTGTAAGAGGATTTAGGTGGGACCAACATTCCTGACAATTGTAAATGTTGAATAACAAAGTAGCACAGCTGCTTTGTGCATGTGCAATATGCATATGCTGGTGTGTTTTAAGTCCAACAACCCACCCAGAAGACCCAGCTGCTCAGGGAGATTTTTCTGTAGCTTATGTTTTCCTGATTGAGCTCCATCAATGGGCTTTTTGCAAGAGTAGATGAGTGCTGGTGTCAACAGCAGAGTGGACAGGACCACCATAAGGCCCACATAAATGGCTTTATCCTGTGAGGGAGCCTCCTCCTACTGCCTGGGGACACCAGGCTGCTGCACTGAAAATGGTCTCATGTCTGAGAGGCAGTGAGATATTTGGAAGCCTCTCTGAAAGTCAGTATGAAACTTTGTGGGGCTGTTCTTACTGGTGAAAGTATTGGTGCCTATAACCTTTGAACAGCTTGGGCTAATCTGAGTTTCAGTGCTGCCCAGGGACTGAGGAGGGCAGGTTACACCGAAGTTGCACTGCAAGTCAAACAGCCATTGTTCTTTTTTGTTTGGGCTTAGTCTTTGGGGGTTTTTTCACCTTGCCATTATGCACAAGCACAGAGGACAGCACAAGAAAGCAGGTGAAATTCTGATTTCACAACACTCTTTGAGATCTTTGCAATAGGTTTCCACTTCATTCACACTTCCTTTCGATGTGCCTAAATTTACTTTTTGTAACAACTCCTGCGATTCTGAAAATATTCCTTCTCCTTTGTTCCCTCTGCCACTTCATCAGCATTGCAGCAATAATCATTAGGGATTCAGGACTGATAAAATTAACTTTGGAGCCTCTTTTACTTTGGAGGATGATATAAAGATAGTGTAGTTGCTAACTTGTGCATTATCTAGTGACCTACTACAAGTAGATTAGTTATAGCTACAAGTATTGAGGTGTTGAAAATAAGACCAAATGTTTGGTTTGGATTGGAAGGCTTCCTGCTGGATATCTGTGAGTGGTTTTACTTGCTAACTTCTGATGTTCAGTATTTAGCAATAGGAATACTTAGAGAGGAGAACCTGGAAAAGCCACGAATCCACAGTGTTGCTGAAATCTGTGGGAGGACCGGATGCTAGATACCAAGTACTAACTTTGTCATTATGTCTAATTATACAAACTCTATAATGGAGGGGTCATGACTATAAACCCAGCTCTATGTAATTTCAGCAACTTCCAAGTATTTTCTCTCACTGTGAGAGAGTTGCTCCATCTGAAATAAGATTCCTCACAGGAGAGAAGGACATATTCTCACTCCCACATTAAAACTCCTCAGAGCTAACAATGATGCCAGTTAATAAGTTTGAAGCATCAGATTAGTAGTTGCAGTGAGACTTGACTGAAGGGGACCTTCTCTTTTCAGCCTACAGATATAACTGAAAATGCAAAACACATGCTTTTGGGTGCTGAAGCTCTTCGGGTGGGAAGCAGCAGACTAAAACCTAGTCATGAGTACTGGGAGTTGAGTAATACTGCAGAGTTTATCCTAACAATACTAATCCTTTAGATATATCAAGATAAGAGCATGCCTTGTAACCATGGTGTAATGGGGAATGCTAGACAGAAAAAGGGTGATTAAATCATTAGCCCCCATCATACAGACAAGAAATAGATAACTATCATATTAAGGAATTAACTGGGAAATGTCATGGAAGAATTATTGCTTGCTATGAAATCAGTGTCTCAACTGCATTTATTATTTTTAATAATAATAGAACTATGACTTCTATTTCCCAATCTAGTATTTGGAAATATTTTCTGGACCTGCATTAGGGGTGTTTAAGGTATGTTATGACATGCATCAAGAAAGGCTCTGCAAGATGAAAACAAATTCCAGATGCAAAGAGTGCTGATATTTCAGTGCTGGAAAGAATAGCATGCCAACTTCCTGCTGTGCCCTAGGCAGACACATGACCCTTGGGACATTTTTCTATTTTAGATGATGTGGTGGGCTCTCATGAGAGAGGAACTGATAGTGCTATTTTAACACCCCAGTTTCAAGAAAAAGTCAGCTCACAAAGCCAGAACAGTTCCTGCTACAGCTGCATCTTCAGCATCAGTCTCAAATGTCCTCAACCCCGAAACTATCACAAATGATCATTATAACTGAGTTCTCCTCTCTGCATATCACTGTGTTAGAGTCTGGAGCTAGTGAAAGGTATGTGCTGAATTAATGAGATTGACTAGAAATGAAGAACACTGAGAATTTCCATGAAAGGGGAGGAAAGCCTGTTAGACTAGTTAGACCCCAAGGAAATGGTCACTGGCTGCAGCAGACCTGAAATGAGTTTTTCTACTTGGTTGCAGCTGGATTTTTGTAAACATGGATTTCTGTTTGGTGGGTTCAAAGAGAAAAATGGTGGTAAGGGAAGGAAAGCCTGCAAATGTCTTCTCCAAGCATTGACTTCTACCCCTATCTATCTTTAAGCAGTGGGATGATTTCCTTTTTCCCCACCTTTTTTTTCCTTTTTTTTTTTTTTCTCTTTAAAGAGGATGTTGCCAAGGGGTGTGCTATGACAGCAGCATTCTGCAGTATGTTATTTGCTTCCTTCCTAATCAAAATATTATGGAATTGTTATTGCATATCCTTGCTGTAATTTTGGAAATGTAATCCTGAGCGTTTGGGGGATCACACTCTTCCCTGCCATGTAAACTTCCTATGCAGATTCTCTGCCAAGTTTTCAAGTGCTCCAATTTCAAGTTATTTTGATCTTATCTCTTGTGTTTCCATAGTGCATTTATACCATTAAAGATTCTTTATCAGAGTCAGAAATTACATACAATTACACTCTGTGTAAAGGATCTGTGAACATGGGCTGTGCAGTCCAGAGCTCTCTTGTTTAATGAAGACTGAGCAAAAAGTTACCTGGGCTGCTCCAGAAATTCAGTTAGAGGAGAGGTACAGATTTTGTAGCTACAGTTTGAACTGCCCCTAACCTTAATATACCACATGTTACACATAAAGGTGACCCCTCTAACTTCATCTGGTTTGGAGTATAAATCTTAATAAACAATCCTCGAATTTTCTTGTCTAAAAGCTGCAAAGTTCTGCCTAGAGAGCCAAGCTGACACAGGTATAAAAGAGAAGGAGTTTTGACTAGTGTGCCTAAATGATGCAATAGCACAAATAGGTAGTAAATGTCCTCTCCTGATTTCTGAAAGCTCTCTGTAGAGCTGGGGTGTCCTGAGGGAGTTCCCCCAGCAGCTGCTTTTCACTGCTTGTTGAAATGCCTGCCGTGCATCGCAAGGGTGTCGATGGTTTGAGATCCCTTCACACAGACTTGCCTTCGGTCCTCAGCTGTGCTGCTAAAGATGACTCTGCTCGGTGCCTGCCAGCCACAGGGCTTGGAAACACCCGCAGCAGCTCCGGCACAGCTGTGCTGCCTTTGCTCCTGGCACACAGATTGATTCAAAGATGGAGAACATCATGTAACAGCTCAAATCTTTATGCTGATCCTGGGGCTCTTCTTCCTTAATGGGGAAGAACATCGTGTACTTTAGGAGGATTACGTATTTGATGATTTTTGGTTTTTAAACACCTTTTCTTAACTGCTTGCTGTTCTACCCTCTTTCTTGGACACCCAGGCTCTCACAGCAGAACACTACATGGCAATGGAAAACCATTTATCCTGGTGAGACTCAGGCACTGTAATCCATGGATTCATTTGCACTCAGAGACTTACTTCTGCATCCTGAGTTAAATTCAAGGACTTCTATCTTTGAACATCCATAGTATATCTTGGATCGGTGAAACACTTCACACACCAAAATAATGCATTATGCACAAAATGTACTTGTGTAGATATGTCCAGGGAAGATGGAGGCAGAGACTAACTGAGAAACAAATGGAAAACTGGCTTTAGGATAAGAGCTTTGGCAGCTCTGACCATCCTATGGAGCAGGCAGGAGTGTGAGGTGCTAAGGTCACTGACAAAAGCAGAGAGTAAACCCAGAATGCCTAATTTACCTACCTTGAGAGCAGCAATGGCTGCTTCTCCAGGGTGCTGATGACACTATCCCATACCAAGGTGAGCACTGCATGATCCACCAGACACTGAATGAGAGGCTAAAGAAAATACTCAAACACAGACAACAATACCTCTGCATACATACCATGTGCTAATGAGGAATAACCAATCCCATCTCCTACAGAAAGTGAGCTTCACACCTTTGTAAAGCAAGCCAGCAGCAGAGGGGTCCTAACAGTCATTTTGAATGCTACCTCTTATTGCCATGGCAAAATGGCTTTCAAAAAGCTTTAAGAAACATTTTACATCAGCCAAAATCTTGATAATGCACAGAAAAGCCCTGTGTCAAAAACTCTATGTGATACTAGTGAGACAAGTAAAACATTCATTTATGAGAGTTTTTCCCCCCTGGGAACTGCTAGGGTTGCTGGAACATACTTTGCAATCTTGGATGAGCATTCCCTGGTTTATACCCTATGCTCCCTGGGATTTCAAATTGCCTGCAAACCAGTACTCTCCTGCTGGGACAGTCATGCAAATAAACAACTCACTGTTATTTTATGACTCCCCTTGAATTTCTCAGTGAGACATTTCTAAGCAGCAAATAGTGAAAGCAATACCACATAGCATCATCTCTCTGCACTTACTTGGAGAGCTCTAGCACTTGCATCTGGGCACTGCACATCCTAGAATGTGGGCTGGCTTACATATGAACCTCCCTGTCTTCTATTTTCTTTATTACTAGTTTTAGTAAGCCTTTACTTACGTAAAGTATTTCCTTTTCTTATGAAAACTACCAGCAGCAGCTGATGTTCGTGATGTTATTCAGCTGAATTAACCAATTCATTCCCACCAAAAATAGCATGTGTTCTGCCCCTCTGTCATGTACAAATACAGTTTTCCCACTAAGACCCACACAAAACTGCTTCATCCGAACATAGTTGCTCTCTGCCATGCCCTGTACCTCCCAGCAGCTTGTGTGCTTGTTACAGCTCATGTACAGCATGATATCAGATGTTTACTATCATGAGTGGCCAGCTACAAGCAGGGCTGGACCAGTGCCAAGCACAGGGGCTGCAGCAACACTTAAGCATCCCAAACTTCCCCTTTTGGCAGCAACAAGTATCAGGTGTGGTTCCGTTTGGGTTTTGTTTTTTTTGTGCATACCCAGCTGTGAGGTCAGAACAGGACAATGAGGGAGGAGCCCCTGGCAGGGCACAGAGGGGCATTGGGGACAGGGAGAAAGCTGCTTGTGGGGGTACCAGGCAGCGCTGGGCTGGGGGACTGGGAGCAGCTGTGCCTTGATTTCATCAAGGGGGCTGCTCACACATGACAATCATCCTGCTGCCTACTTGGTCCCAGAGCCAGCCAGTCTGTAGTTAACCTGTCTGACCAACACTTTGCATCCACCCCTTGGCACAAACCCAGCAGTTTCTGCTCTGTAGTCCATTTCTGTTGTAAAGCTGAGGGTGTCATATGAAACCGGACATTCATTTAACTTCAGAAAGGGGATGTAATACCCAAAACCATAATTTTTTTGGACAAGTACACATTTTTGTTTCCTGAATGAATCTTTGCTCTTGTGTTGTCCCTTTGACGAGTGACTATCAAAAAAATTCATGGGAACAGTTGACATTATTGCAAGTAAGGGCTTCCTAAATATCTTGCTCAAGAAAAATAAGGAAAAAAATCCCTAATCAATAGATTTCCTTTAAAATGTACATAGATTCAACATATTTGCTAAAAGTAAACATTGCATTGATGTTTAGTCTTCAACTGCAGCAGGACAGAGCTGGCTTAGATTTTAGGCAATATTTTTTTAAGGGTTGAGGCCATGGAGCACTGGGACAGGCTGCTGAGAAAGGTCAAGATCCCCATAACCCAAGGTGTTAGGGAACAATTTAGCAAACGTCTGTGCAGAGTGGTCTCACCTTGGAGCAGAAGAAGTAACTTCTGCAGGTCTGGAGTAGAATCTGTAGGCTGGAGAATTGGGTGGACAGAAATGTTCTAAGGAGGTTTAGCAAGAGAAAGTGCAGGGTCCTGTACCTGGTGAGGAACAACCCCCAAGTACCACCACAGGTTGGAGGCTGACCTACCAGAAAGCCGAAAAGGACTTGGGAGTCCTGGTGGGTGACAAGCTGGCTGTGAGTTGGCAATGTGTCCTTGTGGTCAGGAGAGACAGTGGTATCCTAGGATGCATAGGGACCAGTGTGGCCAGCAGGTCATGAGAGGTGGTCATCCCTGTCTACTCAGCCCTGGTGAGGGCTGTGGCCAGTTCTGGGCTTCTCAGTACAAGAAAGACTAGGAGCTACTGGAGACAGTCCAGTGGAGGCCACAAAGGTAATTTGGGTGTGGAGCATCTCTCTTATGAGGAGGGACTGTGGGGACTGGGCCTGTTTAGTCTGGCAAAGGGAAGCCTGAAGAGGATCTCTCACTAATGCGTATAAGTATCTCCAAGGCGGGTACCAAGAGGATGGTGCCAGACTGTTTACAGTGGTGCCCAGTGACAGGACAGGAAGCAGTGGTCATAAACTAAAACACAAGAAGATTAACCTCAACGTGAGGAGGAACTTCTCTACATTGAGGGTGGCAGAGCACTGGAATAAGCAGCCCAGGGAGGCTGTGGAGTCTCCTTTGGAGACATTCCAAACCCACCTGGATGCATTCCTGTGTCACCTGCTCTAGGTGACCCTGCCTTGGCAGAGGGGTTGGAGTAGATGAACTCCAGAGGTACCTTCCAAACCTAACCATTGTGTGATTTTGTGATTATGTCTCTTCCAACCCCACTTTATTTTTCTAGGCTTTTAGGCTTTTCCTTTGTACCTCTGTCCCTAACAAAAGTCCCCATTCAGTGTAGGGTAGCAGCCAGGAACAGCTCCCAGTATGGTGCCAAGGTGGGAGATAGATGCCATGTGGGATACAGGAGGAGCCAGGAGGGGAGTGTCTCCTCCCTGAGCCAAAGGAATGGGGATGAGTCAGAAACACAATCTCCTGCTGAGGAGATGTGGCTGCTTCACACCACACATCACAGGTCAGGACTCCATCCCAAAATGATGTTTTCACCACCTGGCTGTGCATCTCCTACAATCAGGCTTTTGTGCTTAAAGAAAAATTAACAAAAATACCAAAGTGTTCTTCTCCTAAGTTACTCTGTGAATGAGATTCTCAGCTTTTAGTGCACTTCCTGAATTGCCAGAATTCTGCTGATGAGGAAAATTGCTGAGGGTTTATTCTGTAACAAGAGGGCATGCAATGTAGAACACACCCTGGGATTTGCATAAGGCGACTGAGCACAAGCTGGAGTAATTTGTATTTATTTTATTGTGTCATCTTAAAACATTTTTCCTGCACTTTAAAGACTGACTTACTGTCAGGACAAGTAAAGGGTTTTACATGTGGCAAAGAACTTGTCAAGCAGTGACCTCCTGGCAATTGCACCACCATGCTCGGCTTCTGCCCTGAGAGGACATTGTGCCAAGTAGCTTCAGCAAGAAATCACTCTCTTCCATTCAGTGCCATGGATTTGTCTGATGACAAACCTTTATGGGTAAACCTGTTACTTATCTGTGCCTGAGTTTTCTCAACTCTCAAATATTCACAAAAGAGTTATGTAGCTTCTTTTGCTGGTGAGATGGTCCCTACCAGTTCCACACATGACTCAGGTTTTCAGACTAAGAGGAAATTATGACTGATGGTGATTTCTGATTCTACTGATAAATTGCTTAGCTTTGCTGAGATGGTATAAAATGTCTTGTCAGAAAGTTATTTGGGATCTTTTCTGAGAAAGAGATTTTCACTTTCTGGTAAGCTACAACTTTCATTAAGGATTTCACCATCTCTTTCTGTCAGGAGGTGTCTCTCTCAGGCCTCCTACATATCTGGTGAGGCTTTCCTGGCCGGGGGCGTAATTTAGCTGGTTCTACACAACCAGCTCTTCGAACTCCTTCCTTCTTTGTCCCTTTTCTCTTCAAGAGAAAAATCTCACAGACATGTATCCAGTTTTAGCTGAGGTACCTGTTGGTCTTTCTCACTCTGCTTCTACAGTTCTATAATCCCATGATTTTTCTACAAATTATAAATTATCTTCCTGAAAACCATGTTTTTAGACCATAACCAGATTAAGAGATTGCATAGCCAGTAGGAGCTGGTGTTTGGCCAACAGTGATTTCATTTAATTTGCATTTGCTCTCCAGCATAGTATATTTGTGTTAGTTAAACTTGACCTTTTTAAAAGAAAAAATATGTCTACAATTCTTAGATAAGCTTATTAACTGTATACCAAAATGTTTTATTCCCACCATGGATGTTTTGGGGGGTTCTTTTGTTGGCTTTTTTTGTTGAATTTTCTTCTGTTTGCATCCTTTCAAAATGTCGCAATTGAAAATTTGTCTTCAGAGTTCAATTCCTGACACCAAAGTAAAAAAGCCTCCCACTATCTGTTAGCAGGAGAGCACAACTTCCACTGTTGAAGTTGTGCTCAGAAAGCTATACCAATTTACTTTTATTTCTCATACAGTTTGAAATTTTGCTCCTTTTAATAGGGCTGATTCCCAGGCATCAATTCCCAGTTACTCTGTGGTGATAAAAGAGACACATATCCCAACTCCTTCTGCTGTCCTCCTTCCCTCCCCACCATATTGAAAGCCATAAAAAGGGGGAAAAGTTGTTTCTCCACCCACCTTCAGGCTGCTGGCAACCATGAGGCTGCTTTGTACCCAGTGGTTGTGGATGCTGCAGTCTAGGGTGTGATGCTGTAGCTTTCCACAAGCTACTCTGGAAGCAGCTGAGATGGATGGAGCCACCATCCTTCCGTGACCCTTGGCAGCCTCGCCTGCTTCTCCCTGCTGTAAGTTGTGAAGCTTCACACGATAGCTGTCTCAGCTGTCACCACTGCTGGACTGCCCTGAGGAATGTCACTGGCACCTTGTTGAAAGCCTCTAGCTGATGGATTTGTTTGCTGTCTGTGGTCTGCACAGTGTCCACAAGTGCCAGCATGGGCTTGGGGCAAAAGCTGAGTGTGGGAGACCAGGACTTCTTCCTCACCCTCAGGAAAAGCCAAGAGGCTAGCCCAAAATCAAACTGCTGATAAATGTGTGAA